CACCATTCATCTGATCTGAGTGCCAATATTTAGTAGAGTTGCTATAGTGCGTATTTGATTAATGGAAGAAGAAAAGCAGAAGTGAGATTAATAAAAGATTGAACGTTATAATTTAAAGGTCCCATAATACGCTATTGTCTGATCTGTGTTTTAATGTCGTTCGTTGTGTTTTGTTTCATTCGCTCATGTTTAACATGTAAACGCTGCATATTTAGGCTGAGTTCATCTCTCAATGCTCTGCTCCACCTTGTGATGTCATGTAGGAAGTGCTCCAGTGTGTTTTTAAACTCCATACACATTCAGCTATAATGATTTGGATGATTAAAGCTCTGGAATTGCCAATCTTGCTGAACAAAAGGTAAAAGGTTGATTGATTGATTTCAGTCACAGGTATATTCTGACATTATTTCACAAACATACAGTCATATTTAACATACACTAACCAAAAAGTTGTAGGCTGAAGCTTGAGCTTATTATGCCTAACATTTATTCCTTTGTCAGAATGCCATCTTGACAAAAGTTCATCTTCATAAATACAGCAAGACGAACAAACAAATCAGTAACAGTACAACAAAGTACTACAGCCCAAACTAATCATCATAATTCATGTATCTGCCCAGAGTTAAACATTTAAACTTCTTTTTTAAAATGGAAAAGAGTGGTGCACAATTTTAGGTCTTCTGTGCGATTGCTTCAGAGCTCCACCCCTTGAACAGATATACAAAAAGGTAGCTGTTAACTTGAAAACGACCACTTCATGACATCACAAAGTGGAACAGAGCATTGGACATGTAGACAAACTAATAATTAAGTGTTCAAACTGAAATAAAACACAACTCCAGGTCTGTTTTTGACGAGGTAATAGCATTATAACACGGCTAAAAATTCATAAGAGTCCATTTTGTGTGATATAGGAGCTTTAAAACATTTGTGCCAATGGGCGGTGACAAATTTTGAAGCACGATATGTTGCTATAAAGATTTACTGTGATAAACGATAATACTGAAACTACTTTATGCTTCTGATACAATAATAATAATGCAGGATAATCCCAGTGAACCAGTTTAAATAGACGTTTTCATTAAAGGCCATGAGCTGCAACAAATACATAGCAAAATCAGTGAACCATAGAAGTTTTTTATTCAACCTTTAATAGCTCAGGTCTTATCGTATTAAATCCAAAATACCCTAAATCTCCCCCACTTACACTGAAACTATGCACACGATAAATATTAAGCTCCAAAATAAAGGCTATTGTTCCAGCTTTTATATATTCAATGATAAATCAATATAACAATTATTGTGTCAGGCCTCGAACCAAAACAATGTGTCGCGTTTTAGAGAACTGTGTATAAATGCTAGCTAACTGCGTCTCAAAGCTAACAGTCACTTTTATTAAAATCACAAAATAAAAAAACGATAAAATATATACAAATTTACATTATTTCAAGTAAAGACTACCTGATTGTTTTTAAATGTAGAATGTTTCGGGTTTGTATTTACTAGTATTATGCCTTAAAATTAGCATTAGCATTAGCATTAGCATCGAGACCCAAACATCTCTTTTTCTAAACTCTCCTCTGCTGCAGTATTCATTTGATTTGTGTACTTTTTAACATGTTGTCACTGGCATCCACCCACAGCTCCCGGTTCATTGTCTGAGCTTTAAATATTTATTCATTTTAGCATGACTCAGCAAAAGCCGCATAGATACACAATTGGACAGGAAGTAGTGATGCTAACTAGGGATGTAATGATATCCCCTGTCCCAACAGATTTATACAAATCCAGTGATTTGTCCCAGTTTTATACAAGAAATGTCCCAGGTGTCCCTATTTTTGACCAGTTTGATCTAAACCAGGACTAAACTATGACTAAACCAGGACAACATCAGGTCTAAACCAAGACTACACTGTAAACCCGAGCATTCAAAGTAATTAAATAAATTAAGTTGTGTATAATCAAAGTTTTAGAAATAGTCCTACTAAATTATGTCAAGTTGCTGTAACATGTTCCTCTTTTTGAGTCATTTTAACGATCAGATTTTTTGAGTTGTGGTAACTTATTAGGGTTTACTGTGTAAAACAGGACTATCACAAATTTTTGACTAATCTTATCCCTGCCAACCGTAAAGAGGAGGATAAATTGTCATTTGTTTGACCAAAATACAGAAAACCGTGTTTGCAAAAGACCATAAAGCAAAAAATAAATAAATAAATACAGCGACAGAAGTCCCTCAGATTATGACTGACATGAGAATGCACAATGTTACACGCTCTTTGCATAATTTTATTTATACCAACCATCCCAGCCCGGGTGTGTCCCAGGTTTGTATTTTGAAAATCTTGTCATCTTAATTATCCAGTGATTTTTATACAAGAAATTTCCCAGGTGTCCCTATTTTTAACCTGCCAACAGTAAAGAGAGGCATAAATAAATCATTTGTTTAAGTTTACAGAAAAGCTGCTTAAAAATGACCAAAACACAAAGAAAATGTGACTATACTGACAAACGATTATCATGAATGGGTCGAGTGCAGTTTTCCTTCATTATGCACTTGTTTTTTATTATTTCCAACCACCAAAAAACGGGGATGTCCCAGTTTTTGATTTTGAAACTCTGGTCACCCAACTGTTCGATATTTTCACAATATGCATCTCACGGTACAGTATTTTATAGAAGCTAACAAAACTGTGAATATACGACTTTTTTCTTTAAAAATGCCTTTGGTTCTGTCATAATCTTAAAGAGCTAAGATTTAAAAGTGCTTAATAATTAATTTAATTGTTTAAATAGAACTGAGACAGAGCCAATAATTCTTCTGTGTGTAGTTTCCTCAATTGCTTTTAAGCTATTGTTGCATTATAACAATGAATTTAAGCAAAGAAACTTCTAATTTGATATATTGCGATGGCCCATGATATTACCGAGAAATATTTGGCGAGACAGTATCATGATATTTTGGTTATTGTTATATCCCTAATGTAGACAGTGTGGTTACTGGGTGCTGCACAGAACCTATTATATGAAATATGAAGTCATTGCAATAGGGAAATAAAAGTGTCTAGACTGTTGTCTATTAAAAGATCCATTAAAACTACTTATTGCTGCTTCAATTACTCCAAGAGGCTGTTCACTATAAAAATCTATTCCTTTGTTTGCTATCAATTGCCCTACTTAAAGGTGCATTTTCTGGTGGAGGTTTCAATCACTTGCTTGTCTCCATGGAGACATTATTGCATTGCCTGGAATGTTCCATTAACCACATCTATCTAGCATTTATTCATTACAGGTGTTTCTATTGTTCAAAAATACAATAATTCCTTCTGTGAATAGGGGCGACTCTCCACAGATCTGACCTGTAATGCCTATGTTGCCTTGTTTCACTTGAGATAGATAGGTTTAATATCTACCATGAAACATTCAAGGTAAAGCAATAACATCTCAATGGAGACAAGTAAGTGGCAGACCATCATTTGAAAAGTTACGCAGAGCACCGAAAACTATGCACTTTATAAACATACCTTGTATAATGTTTTATTTCTTTTCTAACATTATTAAAATCTTAACCAAGGACTAGGACTGGAAGCCACAGAGTTGAAGTCTTTAGTGCTTTACATCAGTTACAGAGAAATCACGCATATTATTTTCATCAGCAAAATAATGGATCTGCGTACTACTTTAAATGATAATGATTTTCAGATGTCTCTTTTGGTATCATGTAACCTGTTGATACTTTGCAGCTGATGTCATAAACAGTCCCTGGGGGTGTGAAGCTATAACTGAAAGCCCTACTCTGTTAGAAGCTCTGTTGCTCATGTTAGACTTAATCTGAGTTTTATTTTAACATAATCTGACCAGAAAGAGCTGACTTGGTTGGAACTAAAACTGTTTTCCTGTTAGTCACTCTCACCTTTTTGTTAAAAATCACCTAAACAGGAACATGAACGCTGGTATTGATCACAAGCTCCGGAAAATGTGCTGTTTAAACCCATTTGACAATCTTAAAACTCTTTTTGGTTGTTTCTACTAATATTTGCATTGTGTCATCATGGCATTTGCTGAACATTCCACCAATTCCAGCAACATGTTGAACACCTCCAGCATGATGTCACTGCAAAGTATCAATAGGTAAGAAATACTGGCCCATCTGTGATAAGGAAAGCATATTATATAAAAAAATAAATACATAAATAAAAAAAAACTACCAACAAACCTCTTGACTTTAACATGGATGTATTTTGAGTTTTGTCTTTGTACATAGAGTGTATAAAGAAGTGGACTAAGGGAGTGTGACGTCACCTGTAGCGTTTGGCTCCAGTCAAATGCAGCTCACAGAGGGTAGCATTTATAGGAGCAAATTTAGTGAAATGAAAACACCAGGATCACGTAGAATGGGTTAATATGAACATTTTAAGACCAAAATGACGAGACTCACTGCAGGAGTTGTGGAGAGAAGGACGAAAATTTTTTCAATGTAACGTCAGTTGTAGCCAGAGCCAATGGAGCCAGAAGCGCCCCCATGCTCACTTCCTATTTGGAACCCAACAACTAGAGGTTTAGCTATGTCCATTTATATATTCAAGCTATGGTTTCAGCTTCCTGTTGAGGACTTACCCTGCATTTTATTGAATGTCAGTAGTCGATAAATCCGAGTCAGTTCTCCCGACATCCGTTGTAAATGCGTTCCATTGCCACAGCAGGAAAAATATTTATGCCCGAGGAAGTTTAACGTCCAACCGACTCGGTCTGCACCAAACTAGTCCGAGTTTGTGTTTGGGAACCCTGATTTGACTGGCCATTCCATTGCACTTTCTCAAGGTGAAGGTTGGTTTTCCTCGTGTCCTGAACACAATAGAATGCGGCATTATTCCCATCCAAAAGATATAACATTTTTAGTTTGAAATTGTTCATTGCTTGTTTCCTACATTTCTCATACTGAAAGCCATGTATACTCTGCTTTCTCTCCACAGTTTTTTTTTATATATTTTTAATTTTTTACCTGAACCACACTGCATTCGAAGGAGGATGTCCGTCATCACTTTATTTTTCCGCGGGCTGATCTCCCAGGAAAACCACCCTGACAAGCGGTCGCCCCCTGCGCCCCCGGTGCACGAGTACGACGACGACGAGAATGACTCCCACGCAGAGTTCACCAGAGACGCCAACCTGCGGAAGTCCTGGGTCCGAAAATCCATGAGGAAGAAGAAGCAGACCGAACTACAAGTGCCTACAGAAAGTAAGGACCAAAACTACTGTATATATAGAGATTAATAGACCAGTGCCCTCCGTTCAAACCATCTGAATCTGGCCTGATTTTAAAGGTCTTATATTACGCAAAATTGACTCTTGTGAGCTTTAAGCCATGTTTTAATGCTGTTAATTCATCAAAAACAGCCCAAAAGTAGCCCTATTATTATCAGTCTGTCTACATTTAATGCCATACTGTGGAACATATTACTCTATTACACTATTTTCTGATCTATGTTATAATGCTGTTTCCTCATCACAAACATAACTGGAGTCTGAGATGAGGAAATGCACAAATCCTGCATATTTAGGCTGAGTACTTCATTTAATACACAAATGGAGTACCCAAATGAAGTACCCAAATATGCAGGGTTTGTGTGTTAAATGTACACACAAATCTTGCATATTTAGGCTGAGTACTTCTCTCAGTCTAAAAACACACTCTTCTAACTTGTTGTGATACAGTAAGTGCTCCACTGTGTTTTTAAACTCCATACACCTTCACTAGAGTCATCAGTAATATATAATTTCAGCCCTGGAATTTCCAATCTCTGCTGAATTAAAGGTAAAAGGTAGCACTTCATGACATCACAAGGTGTATCAGAGCATTTTGAGCTTTGGAGATGCAAACAGACTAATAATAAAGCGTTACTCAAATGCGTGAATAAAACAAAAGACAACTCCAAGTATGTTTTTGATGGGGTAACATGACTTAAACCTCACTACAGTCTTTCTATTTTTTTTTCTTCCGTCAGTTAACATAATCATTAATAATATTACAGTGATTTAACACAGACATTATACAACGCACTGAAGTTTTTCTGCAGACCGAAAGGGTTCAGGCTGAAGTTTTAACACTTATTTTGCCTCACCCTAACCTTTAATCTGAGTATATCCATTCTGCTATGCAATGTTTTTGTTTTTATCTATTTATTTTGTCTTATATAACTCATGTGCAGCCTCGAGAGCTACATTAATTTCAAAAAGTGTACAGAGATATTGTAACCTTTTCCACTAGAGTAGCTAGACCAGTTTTCAATGGTTTTCTAATTGAATAGCTCAGGTATTGTATTGTATTGTACGTGTAAAGCAAATGCAGCCTGTATTATTGCACACAGGACAAAGGAGTGAACTGATTTAAACCTGACAGACCGGTTTACTTCGAGTTGGGAGTAAGAGCTACAGTTTTACGTCATCGCGGGTGAACCTCTGCATCACTCATCTTCAGTCAAAACAAAACAAAACGACTAATAATGAACTTCCCACACAGAGAGTAGATATTTATAGTGAAGAATCGTATCAGTAGCATCAGATTTTAAGTGTTTGTTTGGACTTAGTTTGTTTATTTTCGAAGGTGTAGCTACAGATGATTTTCGATTATGCCGATACTGGACATTTTGGTGAATCGGATATCGGCTTCCAAGATATCAGTTCAGTCGATGTGTTGTTTTAGTTTATAAATTAGAGTACGATTTACTGGACAATGTTGGCCCAAACGTCTTATAATATTAAACTTACTGTAACGCTGTTCTGTAGTTACTAAACATAGACTACATTTACACTGAAACGAATCACCATATCACCATATCAGCGTATCGGAAACAATCTGCGTCCAGACACAGCCTTCCCTATACACTCAGCTTTAAGCACATTTGTTTATGTTTTACAGAAACAAAACTTAAAACCGCATGGCTAATGAGCATAAACTGAGAGCTCAAATAACAGCTCGCTATTGTGCGCTGATGCAGTTCAGCTTCTGTCGGACTAAAGGACATGAGTTAGTGGAATATGAGTGTTCTTTCTGTGACAGAGGGATGTTCTGCTGATGGTGAGTCTGTTCTGTGCTTCTGTTGTGTTGAAGATGGTTCATGTTAAACTTTTCAGAGATTATACGTCTGCAGGTCGTACACACAGACCGTATATAAGAATGGACATATATTCCAGCCTCTTAGCATTTTGGCGGTGAATTACTTCACGGCGCACAGACCTACATCAGCTTATCAGTGTTTTCAGGCGTCCACACAGTGCCAGATCAGATCTGTACTCAGATGAATTCGTGGGAGCTGGCGGCACCAGAACGTTCCATCTCTGGAGCCGTTTTCGATCAGATTAGTGTGGACGAACACTGCATCCACAACAAAAATGACTCGAATATGTACTAGTGTGGACGGGGCCACATTTGATCTAGGACTGTGCAACATTTTGGTTGGGGGTCCATCACCAGCTTGTTTCTGTGGATATGTCATTGCTCTATCCACATTTCTCAGTATGATAGTTTCACGGTATACATCTCACAGTACGATATTGCGATATTTTGTGGAGGCTAACAAAATTGTTAATATGCTACTTTTTCCTTTTTAAAATGCCTTGACAAGACTTTGGTTCTGTCATGATCTAAAGAATTAAGTTTTAAAGTGTTTAAAAACAGTTATTTCTTCATGTATTAGTAATCTGCACTGAACTGAAGCACAGGATCATGGTATATGTAGTTCTTTCAGTTTTTTAGCTATATCGCTGCACCATAACTATTAATTTTACCCAGACTTGTAATTCGATATATTGTGATGAACCACGTTATTATTGTGAGACTTTTGACGATACGATATCATGGTATTTCATTTATTGTTATATCCCTATTCCAAAGTATAACTCTATTGTTCATTTATTCAGTTCCAGGTAGTTTTACAGCTCAAAAATACCTAGAAAAACAGGCATTCTGACTGTGAGTGGAATCGCCTCTCCATATATCTGACCTGTAACGTGGTCTAGTTTGGTTTCTATGAAGGTAGAAAGGTTTAATACCGTTCTCCGAAACATTCCAGATGGAGCAATAATGAAAAGCGTGGAGAAAAGGATACGCAATGCACCTTTAACGCCAAAGTATCGACATTCGGTATCTACGCAAACACAGTAACTACTAACTAACATTAACCAGATTTCTTTTTCTTTAAAATGTCTGACCAGAATTATTGTTCCTGAACCCTTTGGAGTAGGTCAGTCATGTGGCAGTCAGTGCACGTGACTCTGAAGAGGAGTCACCGCCCTCTTGTTTAGGTGAAAGCTCTGAGTCATGGCCACCGTCTCTTTACGTCTCCTCACGTGTCCGGTGTTTCAAGTTTGAACTTAAAAGGGCATTGTGTAGCTTTTCTGCTGGAAGGTCTGTCAAATACTTTTTTTTTTTCTGTGGAGATGTTATTGCTTTGTCTGGAATGATCCACAGTATGGCATTAACATGACACCTTTCTATCTCCGTGTACACCAAACCGGACCAAGTTACAGGTCAGATCTGTGGAGAGGTGACCCCGTTCACAGTCAGAATACCTGTTTTTCTAGGTATTGTTGAGCCACCTATAATTAAATAAACTTAAAAGGTGTTTAATGTCATACTGTGGAACATTCCAGGCAGAGCAATGACATATCCTTAGAAACAAGCAGGTCTGTTTATATGTATGTATGCACATGTATGTGCTGTACTATGCTATACTGTTAAGGGTGGGTATGGGGAGGGCGAATCGGGGTTTGGGAATGGGGAGGAGGGGGTTTAAATGTTGCATTTGTGTATTTGTACATTTTGTGGCATTATTGTGTGGCTGTAAGACCACAATATAGAAAAAAAAACAAAAAAATTTAAAAATAAAATATATATGACAAGAAAAAGAAACAAGCAGGTGACGGACGCCCAACCAAAAATGTACACAGTGTACCTTTATATCTGCACAATTGGACTGCCTTTAAAGTGGATTTTAGAGTTTCATTTTATTGTCACTGTCATGAAAAAAACAAGAAAATCACATTTAGAGCATCAAACATTGCACAATTTTAGTGTAAAGCGCAATCTTTCTCATGAATTACCGGTCCTATTAACACAAAATGAAAACTGTAGTGATCCTGATGTCCAGTTCTCTATACTCGATAAAATTACGTTTATTCGGATATTTGCTAAATGATAAATTGCATTACGTTCAGATACATAAAGGCAATTATTTTACGTTACTAGGAAATCAATAATTCTGAAAAGCTGAAACTACCCGAAGTCCGCCTGTCTATATTTTCAGTAAGATGGAAGAAAATTCAAGTTGAAAATCAAGATACTTTTTCTCCCATGTTGCCTAGCCCTATTCTGGAGTATAAACAAATGACTGACTCCTTCTGTCTTTGTGAAGTTTAGTTTTGGCTTCTGCTGTCTTATCTCCTCTCATTATAAGTGGGGACTAGTTATGCAAAGAGGATCTGTCAATCTGATTTCAAATACCACCTGGATTTGTTTAAGTAAATACAATGAGGGATAAATCTGCTGGGAACTCTGGACTGACAAGTAGAAGATTGAGCATTTGTTGAGTATTGACAATTCCCGTTTCACAGATGAAGCTAATATCCCAAAAGTTGAGGTTTTAAGGTAGTATAATGTAAAAAAAAAAAAAAAAAAAGAAGAAAAAGAAAAGAACAAAGTCTAAGTAGAATCCCTTATAAAATCCTTGTTCAAATGTTGTGCTCATTTGCTTATTTGTGGATTGGAGTATAAAATTATCCTGATTTGACTGAAAATAATTGTTTAAAGCTTTCCCATGAGCTTAATCGCTGATACCTGGTGTTGTGTTTTGTTTCATTCATACATGTTTCACACGCAAGCCCTGCATATTTAGACTGAGTTTCTTCTCTCAAACAGAAAACACTCTGTTCCACCATGTGATGTCCTGTGGCAATACAGGAAGTGCTCCACTGTGTTTTTAAACTCCACGCAACTTCACTACAATCATTTTGATTATTTCAGCTCTGGCAAGGGTGTAGGTTTGGTCTTGGCTTTGGTGGGGACATTATCGTCCAATCCCCCTTCCCATGAAACCAACTGACAGGTTACTTGTACTTACTTGTAGGTCACTTTAGCAGTTAACAGCGAAGTTTGTAGCAGATTTCCCTTTGATTGTTGGTGATGAGATATTTGTGAGGTCATGTCCGTACATTTTTCCATGGAATATTGTCAGTAGAGTC